TCTCTCTCTCTCTCTCTCTCTCTCTCTCTCTCTCTCTCTCTCTCTCTGTCATCCTGTCTTCGTCTTTTTTTCTGAAATAGAGGTAAATAGTCTTTATTTACCCTCATATTACCCATTAGAGCAGCTCATTCACGAGGAATAACAAACACCTTACTTTAGTATGTTTTGTTAGTTTTTCTTATTCTTTTGTTTGACCAGGTTTCCTTCCCTCATCCTCTAACCAGATTTTTTTTTTATCTATGTTTGTGTAGGTTTGACTACCAGGAGCTGCTTCATAACTCCAGTTTCTGCCTGGTGCCCCGGGGCCGACGTCTTGGATCCTTCCGCTTTCTGGAGGCACTGCAGGTGTGTGTGGGTGTATATACATTATGTGTATTTTTGCTTCTTTGGGTTATGTGACTGCATACTGTATATCTGTATGTCTGTGTGTGTGTGAGTCTGTGTGTGAGTGTGCGTGTGCACAATGTCGTATCATTTGTTATATGAGCCTGTGTAAAGGCTCTGTTAGAGAAGACTGTTTTTAAGCATACTGACGCCTTAAAGGTCCAGTGTGTTGCATTTAGGGGGATCTTTTGGCAGAAATTAAATATAATATTAATGAGTATGTTTTCCTTAGTTTATAATCCCTTGAAAGTAGTGGTGCAACGGAAAGCTTACGGTACGAATCATATCACAGATCAGAGTCCCGGTTTGGATCACAGGTCGCATCAGCACAAAAGAAAAAAAGGCAGCAAATATAACTTTTAGAGATCCCCGATCATGTTTTTTTTTGCCGCTTCATCTCTAATATCTATTTATATGGGTGTGAAAACATCTCCTTCAAACAACTGGATTTATTCAAGTTTCTCACCAAAACTACATTTTACGAGATTAAACCGTGAAGGGGATCCATACGGATTACGGATCAACAACTGTCCGTTACACCGCAGCTTGAAACTAAAAATCGTAGTTATTTTTGTAACGGGGCAACGTCTCCAACGCTGTTTTCTGTTCTTTTTATACATCCATGTATCCGACAGCTTGTTGAGCTCCAGCTGGGGCACTTCAACAAATCAGAGTTTCTCGTCCTCCTCTCAGCAACAGTTGATCTTATTATTATTGACAATCTGTTATCCACTTGCCACAGAAAAGGCCTGTTTCTGCAGATACACAGAGAAGAGAAACGTCTTCAGACCCCAGATGTGTTCATCTTCCATCAGCACCTTGTTACTTTCTGTCTCTCTGTTGTTTTGACATTAAGTATCAAACGCTGCCCTGCGTCTGCCCCTGGCTGTGTTGTTTACTTTGTTCTTGTTATTCCACACTTTCTAATTAAATATTCTGTTGATGACATGCTCCACACTCTGCCGGTTAGGAATGAAATATGTTGCGCTTGCCTCTGCCTTCGAGCCACATTGAGGAAGAGCTGGAAGGATGTGATATGCATGTTCTACTCAGCACTTTGAAAGTACTTCTAACTGATTTCTCCATTTAGCAGGAAAAGTAAGTAGATCAGCTTGGAGTATTGGTATTAAAAGTTTTTATTATAGAGCTGCTACTTTACATAACTATTTGTTTATTAGGGACAACAAATCAAAAGGCAAATTTTGACCTGCAGTCTATGGACAGGTTATACATTTAACAGCACAAACAAGACAAGGTGCCATCATCCTCTATGTAGTCTGTATTTGGCATTTTTGTGACCATATAGTCTTCACTGTTTTTGGTCAAAAGTAATGAGCAAGTGGAGGATGAACTTTGTGGTTTCATTAGAAAAGGTTGTTTTTTTTTTAAGACAAGAAGCACAAAGCAATAGGTAGAATGATTGGCAGAAAAAAATGGGCAGTACTTAAAGTAATTAAGTAATTAAATGCAAGCCAATTATTTTAATGGATTCTTTTTTAGCAAATCAGACCAGAATAGAGGAAAAGAAACGACAACAAAAAGAGGAAAATAAGTCCTCTCTGCAAAGGTAATGCTAATCAACATTTAGAGGACATGTAAGAGGATGACAGTGAGAAAAGACAAGAAAAGAAAAAGTCATCTCACAAAGGCAGACTAATCACACCAGTGACAGGTCACTGATCATGCACTCGGCATTTTGTGAATCTCCTTTAATCTCTCAGGTTCACTTGATTGAGAATCCAGTCGAACTTGAACTTTAAATGAAAATACCAGACTTATTGAATTGTTCTGTCCCACGCTCTGCTCTACTTGAGGCCTCGCAGATGAATCATACCATACAGTATGCCATTAAAGTGAATATATCTCATGTATCCCATTTGACATGCGTGACATCCTGAACTCAAAGCAGGACTATGATCACTCCCCATCAGTCCTGATTATCTCTTCTCTCATTAGTAGCATTTATAAGCAGTATGTAATGAACAATAATATTCATGAATATAATATGAGGTGTTTATGAATGTATTTGTTAACAACTATGACTGCTCATGTGACTAGTCTTTAAATATATTCCTTATTAAAAAATCAAATGTGAATTTATTATATTTTAAATGTGTTTATCAGACATGAAAATGTATTTCCTGAATGTGATATTTTAAACAGCATATTTGAAAATATCAATTTCATATTCAATATTACATGTGAATAGGGCCGCGTATTGGCAAGACTCTGATGATATGATACATATCATGATACGGGGGCTAGAATTCAACATATATTGCCACATATTGCAATTGTTTTGCGATAATATGAGCAAGCGCGATATATTGCTTTTTTTTTTTTAATCAAATTTTAGGGAAACTTTCACAGTATAAAGAACCCACTACCAAATGCATAACATCTGAGTAAAAAAGTTTACTCTTTTTCCAATCAGAACAGTGGGATCTGCATTTGCATTCATCACAGTCCCTGCAACATCCAACATCATAGCACTTCTTTTGTGCAGTCTGAGCCACAAATCTTTGCATGTAAACTAGGGAGTCACTCCCACAAAACACAATATCATCATACTTAACTATATCAATGTGTTCTTACACCCCTACATGTGAAACCATTTTTCTCATGTGTTTTGTTTTTTGACTAATCAAAGACATGAATTTCACGTGTTTTTATGATAACACTGTAGAAAATTGTATGTGATAATAAGAACAAATCATGAGATGTAGTTATCGACAAATACATTATACATTTTATATATACAGTAGATATATATATATATATATATATATATATATATCAGAATCAGCTTCATGGCCTTGTATACATGTACATACAAGGAATGATTCTGGTTTTTCCGTTGCTCTCAACGTAGATACACAGAAATAGAAAAATAAACGAAAACAAGGAGAACAAAGTATACAAAGGCAAGCATAAACATTTAACAACTATTTACACATATAAATATATTCACAAAGTATATGCACATAAAACAGCGACAATGAAATGGAGATAAAAGTGCAATGATGCAGAGTGCAAGGATGCTTGAATGAATATAGAAAGATTGTCACAGGATACTTTATGTACATGAGGTAGGTGGAATATATATATTTAGAATTTTTATGGTACCTATACATTTAGAATTTATAGAAATAAATTTAGAATTTAGGTACCGGATTATTGCATGCAGATTTGTTTCTGTATGATTAAGTGTTCATCAGAGTGACTGCCAGTGATAGCCATAAATATGGCTTTAATAAACTCCAACGGCCCTCACTGAAATTAAAAATATAATTTACATGAATGTCCTAACCGAAACAGCAGCCACAAACAAAAGTTTTAAAACAGTTAACATATATTTCAAGGAATTAGATCCAAAATAAAAATATGAATTTCACAACAAAGCACATAAAGCACAGATCAAAAGTATGAAATAAGAGCATACATGTAACACAACAAGTTATAACAGCATAAAGACTATAGATTAAGACTCTTTTAAATAAATACATGAAATAGGTGCATGTAAATAAAACACAGTCACAGTGTGTCTTCAATTCCAAGTAATGGTTTAAACACACTGAGAGATAAATTGGCATGCCTCCAATTCAAAGAGAAGTTATTTAACAGCTTCAAAGGAAATAGGTTCTTTATTTCTTATATCTGACTTAAAATGTCCTAAATCATGCTAACAGCTACGTTATAGTGTGTTGTAAACCCTTCATTAAACCTTGATATACTGGCTTAACATGTTTAAAGTTCAGAGCTCAGGTTTGAACTGGCATACTTATAATGCATTCAATTTGATTATAAGTTACTCTTAGTGGTTGTTGTTTGCTTGGAGGAAAGTAAAAACTAAACAATGTATGTAAGAACAACGCACAAAGCATTGTAAATTAATGTTTTACTTTACTTAGAGCGAACAATGACTCAGTTTCTTATAATCACATTGCTTACAAAATACTTGACCTTATATGTACCATTTAAAAATGCTTTGTAACATATTATTATTGTTATAAAGCATTATGAAGCTTTAATTATACAGTGTTATAAGCAGATTATAATGCATTATAGAAGAGGGCGTTACAGAGAGTGTTACCCATTCCTCTTTCCCACCATTCGAGGGTTAAAAAAGTAAAACCATTGCTTTACAAACTTGCCCATTTTCTTTTTTATATACTTTTACTGTTCAGCACCATCAACTCTACAACTTGCTGTTGTAGATGTGTAAAAAGCTTTGACTTATTCCCATTAATTGAATATTTTTTATACAACTTAAACTGAGAATTCAATGAAAGTACACCAGATAGACATAGATGAGGTGTGAAATATGAGATAGCGGAAGAAATTATCCAGAAAACTGCATATTTTCCAGTTGAATAAGTACACAGTGTAATAGTGCAGCAGAGTGCACAATCAACTGCTATCCATTAACCACGAATGAAGAACACTTTCACAAGCCTCATGGGAAAATAACTGTACAGCAACACATAGGGGATCCTGTGGGAAATGAAGCCCGATGAATTAAATCACATTAATGAAATATTGATGCATGCAGGGAAAATAAAAAAAAACGAAAAAAAAACACTTGTCCTTAGTCTTTTGGCAACACTGTTTGTTTCTGCAAACAGTGTTTCTCACTTGGAAAATGTTGAAAGAGTCTCGTCAGAGAGAAACTACCTAAGAGGATAAATCCCTCTGTGGAGGGGAAATCGATCCCTCCCAGTGCTCTGCTTTCAACTTCTGGTTAGACTTCATGTGTTACTGGGATTTTTCTCCCTCTCTCTCAAGCTGTGAAAACATCTCAACAGAGAGCGTTTTATTTCTTCTTTGAGGCAAAACAATCCTCTGACAGAAAAACACCATTTGTTAATATCTAACAATAACATCCAGTACAAATTAACACTGTAGACAAAATATGTCCCTAAAACAAGTACACAAGGACAGAAGGTTGGGTTCATCATCATTAAAAATAGTTGTATTAATGTGAACACTGACTATGTTTGACTACCCCTACTCCATTCCTAAATGATGTTATGTAAAGATTGTTTCCTGCCCTCTATTGTTTATTCAACTCCACTTTTTCTCTCACTTCTCTCTCTCTAACAGGCGGCTTGCATCCCGGTTATTCTGAGCAACGGCTGGGAGCTTCCCTTCTCTGAAGTCATCGACTGGAGGAAAGCCGCCATCATTGGAGATGAGAGACTTCTGTTACAGGTAAAAAGCATGAACGAATGGGTTTTACAGCAAGGAAAGAGCATGCAAAGAAGAGACAAAGAGGGATGCATATTGCTTTTTATATCATACGGTCACAGAAGATACGTGGATGGAACAACGTATGCTGCGCAACGTGCATTGAGTGGGCCCCCACGCGTGCATATTCACTGCAGGAAGAGGCAGCATTGTGTTTATCAGACGTCAAATTAGCAGTCATAGTTGTTGACAACAATTATCTGAAATTGATATGCGCCAAAAAACACACACTTTGACAAGCTGATCGTGCTGTAGCTCCCAGGTATTTCGAACCCTTGATGCAGGTTAGGAAAAGCCACCAATAAGTAAACTGGACGAAGAGGGCAAATCATAGAAATAGTACCGAAGTGGAACGGACATTCAATCAACGTGGCAGGATGGTCAGAGCTGCGACCAATTTAATGTGTAGCGCTGCCGTTGCAAAGAAGGTAGCGGGCTACTTCCATGTAAACTTCTGTGTAAACCGAGGCGAGGACTCACCAGGACTTACTCACGCCGGTGTGAGCGTTTCTTTTGAATACTCCTATTCTGCGTCTATGAGGCAAACCCTCGTCACACTTTACAGAATTGAAAGATAAAATGTGCCCGTTTCAGTGTCCGTTCAATAATTGTCATCTCTGACTCCAGACCCCCTCCTGGGCAATCACAATGATCCAACTGGGTCTGATTCAAACACAGACGCATGACACATAGATCAGGAATTGCTGTTAAAATGTAAAGGAACACACGTGTGCTCCAAATATATAAAGAAATTGGGATGTATTTTATGAATAGTGACTGGTTCTGTCACGTGGTACAACAACAGATGGGTTTCTGAGCAGAACATCTGACAGAATAACTGAGAGTTCAGTATTATCAACATGAGTAGTTGTATTTATGGGTGGAATAAGGTCATTTCAGCTCAGAGTGTATATAATTAACTATTAGCATCTATCAACCCATAACTGACGTGTAGTGGGAAATCGAATTGCTGTCGTGTCGCTTTTAGTAAATTGTATTTTATTCCGACATGACAGCTGAGATATTCACAGTCACACACACCTCCGCCAGGAACTATTTTTATCTGAGACAGATTATTCTACAATTGGATCTCCTTCTGTTCCTTTTAATTACAGCAGCGTGCAGGAGTAGTGATATTTACATTCTCTAATTACTCTCTATATTTCCACGTGCCGCCTGCATGACCTATGCAGCCACCTGGACAGTGTGTGCTTGTTAGAGACTGTATGTGTCTCCCTGTAATTAACATGTCCCCCATCAGCCCTCTATCAGCGCCGTCTAACAATGATGTGAATTTAACTCACTGTGAATGACACAATAACAGAAAAGGCATCATTAAAAGTATTACAAACTTGGCTTTTAAACGAAATAAAGCATCTTTGTTATCATAAAACATTACTGAGACCCACAATGATGCACTAATGTTGTCAGAGGCTTTTGTTGTGTGGTTTGTTCCCTTCAACAAAACAAAACCATCTGTCTAAAAGCGTGCTAATTGTTGGTTGAGATAATATGTGTGAAGTAAGTATAGTGTTTTTGAATCGGTGAAACAATGATGGTGTTCATATGTAGGCTATTACAGGGGTTGAACAAAACAAGCATTTTTCCATTTTTTTGTCATCATTTTGAGTGATGCAGATTGATGCACTGGTGAAGATTGTTTGTTGTTGTACCAGAGTGCTTCCTCTCCTCCTTCATTGCCTTAAGAACAGGTTGAAAAAAATCTTTCAAAGTTCTTTAAAAAGATGGAAAGAAAGGCAGAACATTTTTTTTTTTCTCATCTGTAAACAGCCACAGTTCCCATCTTAGAGATATAATTGATGCTAGAATAGATGGTCCAGAGGGATGAATGATTAAGGCCATAGATATTCAGTCTAGTTGGAGTAAGATGCTAGCTGACTCCCCCCTAAAGTTCAATGTGACTTCACATCGAGCTTTACTGGTTACTGGAGAGCCATATGAAATATCTGCTGTTTTTGGCCAAAGTAGCAAAGTCGTATTTTGGTAAGAACATCGAGTTTTGTTCCTGTGACGGTAAAATGTGAAGTTTGATTGCTATTTTTCTCCATTAATAACAGACGCTGTGTTTTTCATATCATGGTGCGTTTAGTTGCAATGGAAAGAATTTCTACATTTCAACATTTTATTGTAGAAAAATGATACCAGATATTTTGAACACAACTTGCTTGTATATTTACAATGTTTATATTTGTACGACATAATAGTTACAATACTTCTTAACAAGAAAAAGTTTTGAGGAACATACAGTTGGTTTACGGATTCTAAAAGCTGAATACCTCCAAACACTACAACATTCATATCTTCTATAAATAGACCATGTTCCATTTGTAACTACTCCACGGGGTTGTTCATTGTAAATTATTGAAGTCATTTTTTACAATTACGTTTATTACATTGTAGATTCAGTATCTCAGTGTTTTTAACTGTAGCTGGACAAAAAAAGCAATTTGAAGATATCACCTTGGACTCTGGGAAAAGGTGATTTTATCGACTAAATGGGTTCGTCCGAAATATAATAAATTAATTGATAATCTAAATCAACAAAGGGCATAGATATACATCTAATTTATGGATCCTAAAATGTAGTTTTACTGCAACAGCATGCATCAAAACATCATGTTTTCACACGCAAAATATATTTCATATAGACATTAAATCACTTTTCACATGCAACATTTGAGACATGCCGATGTGTCGACATGTTTACATGTGATGTCTTATGTTTTACAAAGGAACTGTCCAAAAAAGAATGTGCCCACATGTTGATTTACTAGAAGTAAAAATATGTTTTACATGTAAGCTTTAATAAATACTAGTTGTACAGAACAGGTTAATGGGTGTGGCACGCTTCCCAAACTTTGAGGACACTTTCAAGGAGCTTAATTTTTTTCCTGCAGTACTGAGACAAGCTGGCAAGATGGCAAGAGTTCAAGCCGTTCCTGGAAATAAAGTGTCAGGATAGACTCCGTCAAGCTCAGGATATGGCTTTATGGCACAACTGAACTGAGTCATTAAAAGCATTAAATTACCCAAAAAACATTTAATTATTCAATGGCAGCATCTGTACAGTATAATGGGAATACAATAACAAACCTGTTTGTGGTTGGTAAACAGATTCTGGATGCTAGCCCTCTTTGTCTTTCTCTCTCTCTCTCTCTCTCTCTTTCTCTCTCTCTCTCTCTCTCTCTCTCTCACACACACACACACACATGCACACACAAACTCATTGTGCATTGCAACATTGGAGCTCTAACACCTGGTGAGAGAGTTGAATCTCATTACTTTCAATTACATCACTGAGAACTGCAATACCTGGCTGTTTAATATGTAGAGTTTCGATTCCCCCTGTGGAAAAGTGACATGCACAACACAAATGTGCGCACGGACACACACAATGCCCCTGCTGAGAAACATAAACACTATTAGAGTCAATCGAGGGGAAGAGAATTGAGCTGATTTGATTGGTGTTGTTTATATTCCACCTCTGAGAGCTGAACAATTAAAGCTCGCTCTGCTGTCTGCGGATGATCCCACTGACGTCAGCAGCAACACAACCTTCAATACTGTGTCTTCAGACTGGGACTCTCATTTTGACTTTTTTGTTTTCACCAGCTAAACTGTTAATCTTGTATAATCAAGTAGTTTAAATCTGCATAACAATATTTCAAAGTCAGAAAATGAAATACGATCCAGAAAGTCTAAACAGGAGAAATGCGGTGTTCGTGTTACGGAGAAATTAACTGGGAAAGTGTGCTTGTATTACACGTATTTGATTGGTCAACGCAGCACCTAGGCCGATGACGGTGCCTTGCGTTGAACTCAAAAGTTAAGTCAGGTTGAACTTATTTTCAACCCACTGCTAAAACCTGGCCCCTTTTAAATATACGAGGGGGCTGAGTTTTTCAGGCTGTGTTGTTGTGTGTCTGAATGCAGCCTTACAGCAGTTCACTATGAACTGCAGTTTTAAGATAAAACCTTCATCTGGAGGGAAATTGCTGTGTGAGCAACTGCATTACAAAGTTGAAAAGAGTGCAAATAAACAAAATACAAACCAAATTTAGCTCTAGCGTAAGTTCAGTCAGGAAGACTATACTCTTGCATGGCTAAGCCCGTAGTTTAGTTCTTATACAGCCATCAGTCATTCACTTCTCACGTATGCTCACTCATTAATTTCCTTGCTGTCATTGTTCGGGGCTGTCAATCATGATATCGGCTGTTTAGATCAGCTGGTCTCCTCTATCCAATAGCACAACAGAACAATTATATCATTAGCCTATCATCTTGCTTGCGTCTCTTTTTTTTAATATGACTGTCTCTCTACCTTCAGTTCGTTCATGCTGCTGTTATGCTCCCCTCCACCTCCCCATCTCCGCCCAGTCTTTGCAGATCCATCAGCTTGATCAACTCATCCTTCTATCAGTCTCATCATCCACCACCACCACTGTCTGGACTCCACGGGGGATTTATCTTGCTGCTGCTCAGGGCAGACGCCCTTCGGTTACAATTCTCCCTGTAGAGTCCAAGCGCCAAAGACTCTGTCAAGACTTTATCTTCACATATCATCTGTTAATAATTAACTATTATCTTTCTTCATCTGACTTTTCTCTCCTGATTGAAATGTAGTCAATGCCAGGCGTGTAAACGGGTAAAAAATAGTTGTCGTAAACACAATTGTGATATAAGTGGTTAAAAGTGAATTTAAAATACACACATGCCAAAAGTAAACAGTTAATGGTGAATATCATGAATAAACTATCTGATGATAGTTCCCCATCATATACTGTAAGTTCTACATAAACCTTTGGGTTTGGAGGAACACACGGTATTTCAGTGGAAAATGAGTTAAGAACATCCAAGACAGGCCCATCGTTACTTGCAGCTGCCTCATAAGGCATCAATAAGTTGTGGGAGAAGCTCATTGATCACAATGAGAGATGGAGCCAAGCATCTGATTGATTGATTAGAAGTTATTGGGCTCCGCGTCATGCCTAACAACGCCCCTTAGCTGATGTTAGATCCCTGTAAATCTCGGCCCTTTCGTGGCTTGATGCGTTATTTCAGCACTATCGGTCACTATTCCACTGACTGTGTTGGCCCTTTATCTTTCGGTGAAAAGGTTTTGGGTTGTTGGCCATAACACCGGTCCTGGGCTCCACCAACACCTCTTGATGACTGATGATGCTCTTCAGAACCATTGGCTTCAGCGCTACTCATTCCCCTTTCAGCTTCATTGTCAAGCTGAGCTGGGCAGCTAAGGTCCTCTGTCTGACCTCATCGAGGAGGTAGTTTGTTTTTCTCCAAACTGTGCATCAAGAGAGAGTCCTGCTCTGTCTTCCTTGGCACATCAGGATGTTTAGCTCCCTGGTCAGGTTGGCAGGATCCTTGTCCCCCTTGATTTCATCCCGCCACTGCTTCTTCCCGGGGGGGGGGGTTTCTGCTGCAAGGCACAAGCCAGCTGCTCATGTCCTTCATGACAATGTGAGCTGGGACCTTGTCTTGCCAGCAGGTCTGCAGAGTTTGTTGGTACATTGCCGGTACAGAACTTGATATTAATCCAAGGAAAATAAATGAACAATCATTAATACCTTTCGGGATATATATGATGTATGATGGATGTGATGATGGATTTATATGATGTCCAGCAAGTTGATTTAACACAGCAGTGATAGAAACGTAGTTTTTTAGGTTTTCTGTTCTTGATGATGTTACCATGTTATAGGAGTGACAGCGACTGGAAAGATTTGGCAAAGGAGCTCCGTTGTAGTGCTGAAGTAAGTGATTGAGGTACAGGAAATGAATCGGTGACAGATTTGACTGTAGATTATTTGTTTAAAAGCGCAATGTGTAGAATTCAGTGGCATCTAGTGGTGAGGTTACAGATTGAAACCAACTAAACACCCCTCACTCTCCAAGCGTGTCGCTCGGAGAACTACGTTGCGCTTCAAGTAACGTAAAAACGCGAAAGGCCATCCCGGGAGCCAGAGTTTGGATTGTGCTTTCTGGGCTACAGTAGAATCATGGCGCTGCAACATGGCAGACTCGGAGAAGAGGACCCACTCCCTATAGAATTGTGAAGGGCTCATTCTAAGCTACCGAATACACCATTCAAAACCTTTCCCAGTTTCCGGTGATTATACACTAATGAAAACATGAATATTATATTCCATTTCCATTAAATCCCGCTAAGTCCTACATTCTGTTCCTTTAAGTCATTTATCAAGTCTTAAACTAAATTCTAAATTGTAAGGATGACTTCATCTTTTTTTTCAAACGTCACACTGGGTTTAGGAAAATTGAGACATTTTTCAATATTTCCTTAAGTTTTAAAGACTTAAAAGATAAACTTTTAAAGATAAAAAAGCAGTTCTCCTCTAATGGAGTGAGGTGCTTCTTTACTTGCAAGGGGGTTTGTGGAAGGATTCTGCTCAGCTGACTTGAAACAATAGCAGTAAAAATATACAGTATTCATATCTGATATTAGGAGGAAAATAAACATACAAATAACATTGTAAAATGATGTGAGGCATGATCTTTACAATATTTCTTGTTACAATCAACAACAAAGTACTAGCTACAGCACAACAGGCTGACCGCACCATCCAGCAACCTGAGTCAGCCATAACACGTGTGTGTGTGTGTGTGCGTGTGTGTGTGTGTGTGTGTGGCAGCTTCGGTCCCTCCATGTGGTGTCAGTATGCAAACTTTCATTCTAGGATCAATTAGTCTTGTAGTATGACTTTTTTTTAAATATCCATATCATTTTTAAAGTATATCCATATAATAATAGAAAATAACCTAGGTAAAATAACCTGTTTTAACTACTCTTTCTAGTCAACACTTCATAGTATCTACCACATTGTGTCAAAAGAGTATTAGAGTCGTAGAGCAGGTGGTTTAGTTACCTAAATGTCCTGTAAGCTCGTTGACAGACAGAGTGAGATGTGGGGGTAGAAGAGTCTTGAGGAAAGGAGGAATTTCCTCTAATCTTGCCCCTCTAATCACGTCGACAAAATTACTTATTCCTCCTCCACCTGTCTGCTGGTGCTCTGATTTCTATTCTTTTTTCTTCCACACTGGTTCTCATCCTCTCACTCGACATTGTTTAACATCTAACTCAATCTAGCTCACTGTCATTTTTGTCCTCTGGCTTTTCTTCCCTCTCTTCCTCCAGGTTCCCTCCATTACCCGGTCTGTGGGCCGTGACAGGATCTTGGCTCTCCGCCAACAGACTCAGTTCCTCTGGGACGCCTACTTTTCTTCTGTAACCAAAATCGTCTTAACTACTCTGGAGGTAAGCTCATGGGAGAGAAATGGTCTTTATGTGAGTTTTGGATTTAGTTTTGTCAGGAGAGCTTGAACTCAACCAAACTGCGCTGTCTTTTTCTATATACTGTACATCGCCGCTGGCTATGCCTCACCTCCCAAAGATAAACTTTTAAAAGAAATCTTTCTCCAGTTGTCAGTCATATTTTTCTAAAGGTTTAGCTGAATGTGCCCCCTCTTTTCCAGCAATGTTCTGCTTCATATTCATACATTTCCACCTCTTCTAAGAGTAACCACAGTATAGCTCCACTCAAGTAATTGTGGGCTGCTTTTCTTGCTTAAGGCCACCTCATAAAAAGTTTTTGATGGAGTTTTGAGGTTAGTGTTTAATTTTTGTTGCTTTTTACAAAACAGCCTTTTTTTTCCACCACCCTTTCAGTCAGCTCATATAAATCATCTCAAATACAACTTCACAACCCTTGAACTGTCAGATCCGAGGTTGCTGTGACTTCTTTTGACTTTTCATAAGCACGAGTGCATATTTTCTACTTTAAGGTAAATGTTTACACACACACACACACACACACACACACACACACTCACATGACCCATAAATGGTGATGTTTTAATCAGCTAAATTCTCATTTTGGTCACTTGGAGTCAGTGGAGCAAGCTGACACTGACATGTTATCACCTTGTAAATGTGGGTTTTTCTAATTTGGCATGGCAAACATGTTATTTACACATTCACCAGACACAAAGCAACATTGTCATTTATTCAGAGTCTGATAATCATTTCCCTTTTATGTATTGGTCTCCACCAACTGCCGCTAAAGCTCTGCTATGTTCACCAGGTAGCACATAATCAGCTTTGCATCTGCAAACAAAGTCATTTGATCCATTGTTAATATGAAAACATTGAATAGTGCAGCTTTAAATAATTCTACGGAGTCTACTGTTCATTGGTTAGATTGACATATGAAAGGTAGAAAGACACTGCATCTTTACACTGAAAAATATTATTTATAGCAAATGTTGTGACATTTGCTATTATTGGGTTAATAGGATTAGGCCATCATTTGTCCATCTTATTGACGTACAGTATAAGCAAGAACTTAATATAACCTTACATCTTAGAACTAAATTAATTTAAACCTATTTCAACAGTATGTCATGAAATACAACTAACAATGCTGGTAAATATTAAGAAGGAGGGCATTTATGCTTTTGACAAAGAAAAGTTAGATTTTGACATGTAGACTGGAAACCAGCCTTTTGACGCCTGAAATCCAATCCAATGTGAGCATGAGGGGCCAAATGTAAAGGAGGTCTGTACACCCTGGATGCCCTCAAGTTAGAGAGGATGCAGTGTGTGTGTGTGTGTGTGTGGGTGGGTGTATCTGCCTGCTCTCAGGACTAGAATGCTAGAGGGTTTCTCATTAAATGACCTCGCCAGCTCAAGTGTAGAGGATGAACTTGGAGAAGGAACCTTCCTCCTCTCATTTTACTCTCTATTGTTGTTGGTTCACTACAGCCTTGATTCAGTCCTCGGGGACTATTTGCTCTCCGTAGCATCTCTGAATACAGATGCAGAACATAATAATCCTCTTAATTACCACCATCATCATCGCATAAACACCAGCACAATCGCTGTGATCCCTCGTGTAGCACACAAAATCGTTTGCAATCATCGTCACGTTCTATCATCATTTGCGTCATTGCAATAACACTGAAGTCACCATCGCAATTCAACTTCAGGCTTGTTCAGATTAGGGTCCTCAACAAAACAATATAATTACGAACATAGGACATCACTATTATTATCTTTAGCGTACACATTAGAATTTAATTACAGTATTTTGTCCTCAATTGTAGACATGTTGTATAAAAGAGTGTGACCATGCATGTTTTTCAACACATCAATTTGAGGTTAATTGTCATACATTATATCATTTGACGCATCACACTCCAAGATAGAAACAAGTTTCTTAATCAATCCCTATTGCAAAGGTAGAGCTTTTATTACAAATAAGATGAGATAAGATAATCCTTTATTAGTCCCACAGTGGGGGAAATTTACAATATCACTAATTGGAAAACCTAGCTCATTAATATTAGTCTTTTTTACAGATATTTTTACATATTTTTTTACTTATGCTAATCTCAGCGCAGATAAACCAAACGATCGAGATCCATGTTTCAAAGCAAATCTGTATATCTTTTGATTAACATTGGCCACAAGTAGCAATTACAGGATAATGCTAAATGCTATATACAGTGTAGTGCTGGAAGAGTCATTATGTCAGCAAACTGGCTGAGTAATGAGTTACACAGTGAAAGCCAACAGTAGCAACAAAGCCCCTGAATGTCTTATACTGAGCAAGGGTGTCTTTTACCAACAAATGAAACGTGTTATTTGTGCTTTCAAAATGAACATACTCTCCCTTTAACACACATCGAGATTTGTTTTGTTTTGATATATTTATTGATTTTAAATTGTTTATCATATAAACACAAAAAGCTAAGCAGATATAATAAAATACATGACTAAGACGCAGAAAATAGAAATAAAAGAATACAAACAATATGTGTTCATCATACTGCCATACAACAGCTGCATTTCTTCAGTACAGTGAACTCTTTGGTGCTTAGTTACCATGCATTAAGTGTCCTCATATTTCTGGTGTGTCTGTGGGGGGGGCTTTAGAAGCTTTTCAGTGGCCAGGCAGCTTAATTGGCTCCTCAGCAACTGATCAATAGTTGGTGCTTTACTTGATCAGGATTCAGGATGACAAAGGAAGAACCAATTTTACCTTTTGATTCTGACAATTTCAGATTATTAGACACAAGATCCAAAGATAGAGATTAAGTTGATGTGAAGCTACGGCATTCAAATTAAGACCATGCTTTGCTGTTCTTGCACTGATGTACTGTCATGTATTCAACTATTTTAGTGGATTAAAGTGATGGTAAAGTGTTTGCATGAAGCCTACTATCTATCGGTACATTGCAGAGAATAACAGAAATGTCCATGTTATAATGTATCTCCACCTTTCAGTTTAATAGCACAAACTTCTCTCAAATTGCAGCATTTTTCTCTTACAATCACAGCACTAACAGCACCTTAGTGCCACCCCCAAATGCCCAGCGCCAACAGGGTATGAAATTAGACAGAAGCCTACTGACAGCCACATACTATTGGCCAGATGTGCTAAAATACTCAGAGCCAGCACG